AGTCTGTCCGTCCGCAAGTGACAACAGCGACCACAATTAGGTGTTCTTTGCAACATAAACATACACACAGTGTCACACAGTACTCGTTGGTTTGCTGCACATTTTTTAAAGTCTCGGTTCAAATTACGTCCGCGCACGGCAACCAAAAATAAGTGCACCTTGCAACCACTCGTATATACACACTCACGTCAGTGATCCGCATCACTTAATATTGTTAATGAAGGATTTAGATTTTGTTTAAACTGACAGTCCATAATCATAACCTTCATTTTTTCTGATCGTTTTTTCACTGCGCCTCTTAGTTGGCTTACATTCTTTTGTATATTTGCGAACACTGTCACTGTTTCGAGGATACATAACCTCTAAATTTTGTTATTTGCATTGGACCAATTGTAGATTTTCACTAAATCACTACGCATAAGCGATTCAACTCATACATTGCACATTGTTTACCATATATATTTGCTACGTACGTTGCACTCATCGAAGTGGTCACTCTGTTTATTAAAATTTGCTGCGTACGTTGCACACATCACGATTTTACCACGTATATTATTTACACCTTATTGCGTACCTTGCATAGCTTATCAAAGCGCGTAGATATTAGTCAGCACAGTTGGGTGGCGAGTCGTTAGTAAACAATAATTCTAGAAGAAAAAGGTTTACATTTTAATAAAGTGTCGAATATATTTCGCAATACAAACTATTTTGCATCTTTTTAATTCGTTGGATTTCTGGTATACATTTAAGTGGCAAGTTCCGGTGGGTAAAAAATTGGCAACTTCTCTTGCGCATACAACCTCTAATCTTCAATAAGATTAAGTGTGTAAAATCCTATAGATTCTATCTGGGCATTACAGTTAATACTTCGGTCAGGGTAAACACGTTAAACAATGGATTCGTATATTCTTTTGGCAGAAGCTGTAACAGAGTTTGAATCTGATTACAACGGCATACCCGCCGCAGAACAAAACAAACATGGTCTTGCTATTCAACAAGACGAGTTAAAAGCTTTGTGGGAAAAAACAAAGTCAGCTTACGATAAGCTTATCAATGAGGGATTGTCTAAGGATGATGCTAAGGCCATAAAAAAGAAGAATAAGATTTCCTTTCAAAGCTATGTTAGGTGCATGTCTGCTATTGGTTCTCAGGTTGAAATTCTAACCAAAGCGAACAAAGATGTAGAGGATCGGTCCGTCCGAGAACACAATATCCACCTGCCACCGTGCGATACAGATGTGTTCAAGGGCGACTATCTCTCATGGCCAACTTTCCGAGATATGTTCACGGCCATCTACATCCTGAACAAGCGCCTCACCCCAGTTGAGAAACTAGTTCACCTCAACAATAAAACACAAGGGGAGGCAAAAGACATAGTGCGAAAGTGCCCACTTACCCATGAAGGCTTTTCGACAGCCTGGAAAAACCTGTGTGAGCGATACGAAAACAAACGTATCTTAGTTAACACACAATTAAAAGTTTTATTTAGCTTAAATACAGTGGAATCTGAGTGTGGTAGCTCAATTAAAAACCTACAGCGCGAGATTAATAATTGTTTATCGTCCCTAAAAAGTCATCAAATTGACATCTCTAATTGGGACGCAATTATTATATATTTGTGTTCAACGAAGCTTCCAGAAAGTACACTGGCCCTATGGGAACAGACCATAGACCAGAAAACTGACATTCCAAAGTGGGAGGATATGGACAGGTTCCTATCCAATAGATTCCAAACTTTGGAAACTCTAGCGGGGCTAAAGGGTACAACAACTGTGAAAGCTCCAAAGCACCAACCCGCACGGCACCACCAGGAAGCTAACACTAAAAGGCTAGGAGCCTTTCAGGCAAGCGTGAGCAAGTTCACCTGCCAAATGTGCCAAACTAATGAGCACAAGTTACGCAACTGTCCACAATTCCTCAACAAAACACCTGCTGATAGAATCGATTTTTTGAAAAGCAAAAAATGGTGCCTGAACTGTCTTAGTACTGGACATACCGTGTCAAGATGCACAAACCCATTTAATTGTATAAAGTGCCACTCGCGACACAACACGCTCCTTCATATTGAGACAGCTCAAACAAAGGCAACGACACTTGGGACCTCTTTGGATTCTGCGACTAATTCTGCATCAACATCCAATCAGGCCCAAGCCAAACGCAATTCAACAAAGTCAAACAAGCATACAAGCAAAAACGTGAAGTCTTGCTATGCGAATACAAACACAGGTGTGTTATTAGGGACAGCACGCGTCAACATTTATCTCAATGGTACGAACTATTCCGCTAGAGCACTTATTGATTCTGGTTCAGAGTGTTCTTTCAT